AGAGAGAGAGAGAGAGAGAGAGAGAGAGAGAGAGAGAGAGAGAGAGAGAGAAATTGAGAAATTGATGAGCAGGGAATAAACATTTTAAGTTTGATGCTCAGTCAAGAAACTTAAATGATGTTCCAGTGTTTAGGCAATTAAAAATGTACATTGAACATTGTAGTTTGAAGGAAAGTTTTGGGAGTTAACCTTACTCATAATATTTGAAACAATGAATTGTAGCTAAGTTGCCAAAGGGGGGAAGGAGAAATGGCAAGAAGAGTTGAGGGGAAAAGTGAGGCTAAAAGCTGTCAGTTGTGCAAATCAAATAAGATAGCTTATGTTCTTTCTGTATTTGTATATGGTACTTGGCTATTATCCCTAGCTAATATGTGTCATTTCAAAAAAATTGTTCAATAAAACATGTTGTTCCTCTGGAAATGTTTGAACTCTGCTATGTAGTAGAGAATGACTTTAAACAACTGATTTCCTGTCTCTACCACTTGAGGGCACCATGCTCAGATTGATGCTGTCCTGGGGTCCAACCCAATCTGCCATCTGAGCTATACTCTCAGCCCTGGGTACAGATCCTTTTTAATCTTACTACAGAAATCTATGGGACATTGGATTGTGTTTTCCAAAGGAACTAAATTGTAATTATAGGAAAAATGACAGAATGATAAACATACTTAGAAATGCTCCTGGCCAGAAAGATAATTTTGTTACTTAAATTGGGCAGAATAGAGCTTGCTAAAGTATGGGTGGTGTTTTTCTAAATATACCAGATTTTCAAGATTACCCATTTTCATTAAACACTAGAATCTTACATTTCTTACACAGAAATCATAACTGATAGCTCTTTTAAAGATGTGGAAACAGGACCAGGCACGGCCCTTTGACCACACGCCTTTAATCCCAGCACTTGGGAGGCAGAGCCGGGAGGATCTCTGTGAGTTGGAAGCCAGCCTTGTCTTCTTAGTGAGTTCCGGGTCACCTGGGGCTACAAGGAGACCCTGTCTCAAAAAGACCAAAAAGCAGAAAAAGATATGGAAACCACTTAGAGATTTTTTTTTCTTCTATGTACTTCAACATATTATAGTTTGGCATTCATGAAAAACATCTTTTGTTAGCACTGTTCAGTATCATCCCTTTCACTTTGAAAACTGGTCCTTGTATCATGACAAACTACTTCCCAAATTTCTCTTTTGGAAGCAAGCTGTTTGCTTTAAAAACACTGGCTCCTACACATACCCCGTTTATTTCTTCATATCATTTTAGTAGGAGTTTTTTGCCAGAAATATATATATCAAAATCTGGAAGATGCATATGCACATATTTTATCTAATTTCAATGGCAAATGCCATTTTTTAATTGGCCTTGTTCAGTCTAGAATCTTCAATTTTAGAAGAATTGATTGCTTTCCTATAAGAGGGGGTATTCAAAACAGTTGTTTACAGACTGAACCTCAACTGTTTAGATGCTTAAGTACATTAATAAGGATGGCAATACAAATATGGTTGTTAATGTTGTACAAGTACAAAGAAGAGGCAGCTTTTTAAAGTTAAAAGTGGTACAGATAGAAAGTCTAGTGCCCTTGATCCCTTATCAAACAGCTGATAAGTTTTCTAAAATGAGAAGCTTGCAGGCTGAAAATAAGTGCTCTTTATAAGCTTACTGTTTGAAGAATTGGGAGTAGGGGGGAATCACTAATTGTGTAAGTTGTACCAGTTTGTTTCTTGCTACTTACGATGTTACTAATACTAAATGTAGCTAATGAAGGTGGTTCCTTCATTCTTTTTCTTTTTTCCAGTTTTCTTCCAGTGGCTCTTGGCATAGAATAAACAAGAACAGTACTCCTTACCTCTCTAACAGGCTCTACAAAATCTGATTTCTGCCTACTTTATCTCTTCCTGCTTCCTTAAGCATGATTTTTACATTTTTTTTACACTTCTAGACTAAAATTCACTAAAATTCTGTGGTTCTGAACTGTAGCTGTGCTTTCGAGACACGCTGGGTAAGTTTTTCAAAAAATACATCTACCAGGTCTGACTCCAGCAATTCTGCAAGTAACTAGAATCTACATATATAGTGGTATGATGTCTGTGCACATGGGTAGAGGTCAGAGGAGGACGTTGGATGTGTCCTGCCCTATCATTCTTTGCCTTTCTGGGGGGGGGGGGGTAGTTGAGACAGGGTCTTCCCTCTTGCTCCAGCTGTAGGCCTGGCTGACCACAATCTCACAGAGATTCGCTTGCCTTTGCTTCTGGAGTGCTGAGAGTAAAGGCATACACCACCACGGCTGGCCTTTCTTCAGACCTTTTGTTTCAGATAATTCTTAGCTCTGTCTGGTTACTGGCAGTTTCTTGTTCTTCAGAACTTGTTGAATAGAAGTGTTAAGAATGAGCATCCTAGCCTTCTACCCAGTCTTAGAGGAAAAGCCTTTGAGATTTTTCCCACTGATTCTGAGTTTAATTTGGGGATTTTCATAAATGGCCTATGTTGAGGTAATTTTCTTTGACTTTTAGTTGAGAACTTCATTGTGAAAAGATACTGAACCTTGTTCAAATACTTCTCTGCATTCATAAACATGATCAAGTAGCTTTATGTTTTAATGTATATCTCATTGATTGATTTGTCTATGTTAAACCAACCTTGGTTGATTCAACCAACTAGCAGTAATTTATGATTGATTATGGTACATAGCCTTTTGGCTTTTGAAACAGGGTCTCAACTGTATAGCCTAGCTCAGAACTCTGAACTGTCTTTCGTCTACCTCTTAGGTGCCAGGATTACAAGCATGCACCAACCATGCCTGGCTTTCAGAATTGAACATTTTAATACATTTGCTCACTAGTTTTATTTCTGGGGTAAATTGTTCATAGCTTTAGTAGTTGGGGTTTTTCATTATATTTGCATTCTCGTTAGCATCTTATCAAGAATTGTTTTTTTGTTTGTTTTGTGAAAGAGTCTGTAGACCATGCTGGCTTCAATCTCAAAAAGATCCAGCTGGCTCTGTCACGCTCAGCTTCGTTTTAATTTTTTTTTATTAGACTGGACAGAATATTTGTAAGCTTTCCTCTAAGGATGCCTAGTCTAGTTTAAAGTTGACAACTCTATGTGGCAGTAGTATGCATTCTTTAGGAGTGCAGAGTGCCATGGAAGTTAATGAGCTTCTTTATAGAAATGAGAAAGGAATAGAGGGCAAGGTACACAGTATAAGAGGAAGAATAGACTTCAGATGCAGTGAGAGGAAAGGTACCGTGATTCTTAAGAACATTAGAATCACTCGAAAAACTAAAACTCCCTCTCCTGTATTGATATTTTTTAATGCATAGATGATACTAATGTGCAGCAAGAGTTGAACCTCAGTTTAGAATGTGCCTGTTTGTAATGATTCTTATCTTTTTTAAGTCTCAGAACTAATTTGAAGGATTTATTAAAGCACAGGGTGCTGAGTCTTACCTATAAATTAGCCAATAGATGGTGGTGGACTTGAAGATTTGCTCCTGGGATGTTTTAAGGAGTATATTTTTCATGTTGTTGCCATGTCTTAGATATATTGATTAAATAGGAGTGTTAAGGGAGCTCTGAAATACTTATTCTTAGATAGTTGGCATCCAAGTGAGTGTGAAAGAGCAAATTCACTTTTTTCTTGATAAATGCATTTTGGTTTTTTAACCCGATGAGAGAACTCTTTGAATCTTTATTACATAGTGAATAATTGGTGTTCGTCTTTTTTTACTGTACATAATACTATTTCCTGTATCATGAAATAGGTGAAAATTGACAATGTGTTGAATTTTACAAGTGTGTAATCACTTTTCGAACCTTCATTTATTATTAACACTCCTGAGGTACAATTAATTGAACATACATAGCAATTATATGTGTATTAATAGTGTTCTTTTTATTGCATATGAGTCCCAAATTATCACAAGAAGTAATTTATTTTAAATTTATTTTATTTATCATTTTTATTTTATGTGTATGTATGTATTGCCTGCATGTAGGTAAGTGCACCTGTGTCATGCAGTGCCCGCAGAGGACAGAAGAGGCTCTTGGATCCCCTAGAACTGGAGTTACTAACAGTTGTTTGCTGCCATGTGGGTGCTGGGATTCGAACCCGGGTCTTCTGCAAGAACAACCAGTGTTCTTAACTGCTGAGCCATCTCTCCAGCCCCAAGAAGTAGTTTATTTAAATAAATGAATGTGTGAAGAGCTAGTGTTGTATGTGGTTTTGTGGAAAACACTTGCCTAGCATGTTGTAGCAAGCAGGTCCTGAGTTAGATCCTGAAGGCTGTAAAACAAGCATACAGAAAACTCTCTTGTCTGACATATTGCTGATACTTTTTTTTTGTCAGTTGTATATGTGAAAAGCTGTACTGTCCTTTAGCTCGTATGTTCCTATTCTTGTCTTTTTAGCTATTGCTGGTTTCTCTTGTGGAATTAGTCACCTTCTACCCTACCTTGACCCTAACTAGCCCCTCCAGAATGTACGTATATAGTTTCTCCTTAAATTGAAGGGAAGTAATATGAGAAATACTTGTCTTTTTTCCTCTTTTGTTAATAGATTTGTTTGTTAGGGCATCTCTGTACCATTAGGGTAAGAAGGGAATGATGATGTCTTCCTACTAGATGAGTCCCATGTGATACAGCCTATTGTCAGTCATTTCAAGCCTATTTTAAGTCAAATAATGTGTCTTTGTTAGTGGACAGCCTCCTTAGGTTCAGTATATTTTAAGTATTCATCTTGGGATGGATTTTAGCTATTCTCTGTGATAACATTAGTAGTTATAAACCAATTGTAAATAATGTGTTTGTCAAGTGCATAATAGTTTATTTTTATTTAATCTGTTCTATATTAAAGAGATCTATGAAAATATCATGAACACATTTTAAAGACTGATATCTTCATTGCCTTCCTACCCCACCCCACCCCCAATTTCCTGTGAATATGTTAAGCTTTTGGTCAGTTAATACTAAAAATTTTCTTTATTTTTGTTCTTATATGCATCTTAAAGACTACTTTTAAGGAGTGTGGCAGGAGGTTTTGGACTCGATGAGTTTCCACCGAAATGTCGGAGAAGTCAGGCCAGAGCACAAAAGCAAAGGATGGGAAAAAGTATGCAACACTCAGTTTATTTAATACTTACAAAGGCAAATCTTTGGAAACTCAGAAGACCACAGGTGAGTAAATCCATTGTCGTTTATGTTGTTTTATTACTATAAACAGCATGGTGTAACTACTACTACCATAGAAGCCAGGTTAATGCAGCCCTATTTCCATTGGCCTTTGTATTCACACATTTTAAAGAAATCTGAGTTGAGTATTTTGCATTTGAAAATTTATACTGTAATAGAATCTTTAAAGCACGCTTTTATTCTTCTCTTATTGATAGAAAAAAAACTAGCAATATAATTCCTAAGGGGAAACTCAGAGCCATTAGTAATTATAAATGCCTATCTCTAGAAAAAATCCTTTGTTTTGTTTTGGGGTCTGTTTTATTTTTTAATCTGGGTCCACTGAACCAATATATACAGTGAAAAGTAGACTATGGCTTATTAGTAGTTTTGTGAAGATAAAGTCAGCATATTTATTTTTTAGTATTCTGTTTGTTTGTTCGTGGGTTTCAGTTGGTTATCTGGGGTTTGGGGGTTGAAACATCTTTTTTTTAATATATTCATTATGTTTATATTTTTGTGTATGCATGTATTGCCTGCATGTAGGTAAGTGCACTCATGTTGTGCAGTGCCCGTACAGAACAGAAGAGGCTGTTGGATCCCCTGGAACTGAAGTTACAGACAGTTGTTAGCTGCCATGTGGGTGCTGGGATTCAAACCCGGGTCTCCTGAACTCCGCAGGAGCTGGGAGAGGTGGGCAGAGGCTGTGCTTTTATTCAAAGGACACTTCAGCACAGTCCCTGTGTAGAAAAGTCTCTCTTATAAAGTGCCTACCCCTTTACAGTAGTAGATTCAGTAGCCAATAGCCTTTTATATGGCAGATTATCTTTTTTGTTGTTTTTAAAGTAAATTGCACTAGGGTTTCCTTCAATTTGTGATTTTTTTTTTTTTTTTTTTTTTTTGGCCACACACACATAATACACTGTGTTACATACATAGTATATTGTGTTACATACATTTTTAGAAGTTCTGTTTGTTGAGGGAGGGGGAATGATTTGGGTTTTTTATGTTTTGCTTTTGTCTTTTTGAGACCAGGGTCTCTCTGTAGCCACCCTCAATCTCAGAGATCCACCCTCTGCCTTTGAGTGCTGGGATTAAAGGCGAGTGCCACCAGCCTGGCTTTTTAAGGCCTGCTGTTACCACATTACCAGGATAGCTTATCTGTTGAATGGCTTGATTGTTTAATACTTTTTCTTTGAATTATGTTGCAGGTGTGTAAACTGAATTTACAGATTTCTAAAGATCAGGAATAATCGTTCAAAGATTCCGTTGACTCATATCATGTGAAGAATAAAATGATGTTCTAAGAAAGTTGATGTTACTGATTTTTTAGTTGCAGCTCGACATGGGTTACAAAGTCTTGGAAAAGTTGGCATTTCCCGGCGGATGCCTCCACCTGCTAACCTCCCAAGTCTGAAAGCAGAGAACAAAGGCAATGATCCAAATGTGAATATCGTACCTAAAGATGGCACAGGATGGGCATCAAAACAAGAGCAGCATGAAGAAGAAAAGTGAGTCCAAGTCTATTAAAAGAACAATACTCTGCTTTGTAGGAAACTTTTGCAAAAGTGACTACTGTATGCCAGGTGTTGTCTACCTATATTTCATGCCCTTTTAAAGTCTTGAGACTCATTTTCCTGTTGAGTCTAGTGGCATTATTATCAAGATAAAACAAATGGCATAATTTCTAATGACAACGTTGCTTAGAGCATACATAGCCATACCATCACTCCTTCCTCTCCTACCCTCATCAAATCAGGTATTTTCCTTCTTTGTGACTAGAAATTAATTCTAAGAGAAAATTCTTTTGAAAAGAAAAAGAATTGATTGCTATTGGACAGTTGGTAGGATTTGTATTTTGTTTGCCTATATCTGTTATCAAATGCTCTTTTTTCTGCTTAAGCTTTATATAGTATTTGACCACTTGTGTAGAAGTTTGTTATAAAATTATTTTATAGTAACAAGTCAGCTGTAGGTTTGGGTGTATTAGAAATAATACTGGCGTTCCTTAAGTCTCTTTAACTACATTACTATATTAAAGTGATTGAAACTGTAGACTGTTTTTAATCACCTTTTATTCATGAGAACAAATCAGACAGATTGCTGTTACCTTTTGAATTACAATTAAGTACAGTGATGAATCTGTGGACTGACAATTGGAGCTTGCCTAGCCTTAACCACCGACTAATTATTCCAGTCCAGACTGTATGTATGCATATACTTATATTTTAAATTATATGTATATACTTTGAAATGTTGGTGGCTGTTTTTAGTTAGAAGTATTTTTTTTAGCAAAATGGAAAATAAACAAGGCTGTCATCTCATTGGGTTATTCAAAGGTAGAGATAAATAGGAGAAAACAGCCATAATTTAAATAAAAGATAATGATGCAGAGGGAAACCATTCATAAGAGATCCGCAAGTATTAACTAATTGATAGCCAAAACTTAGCACAGAAACTTTATATGATTTATTTTATTTATTTTAGTATTCAGTATCTGAAATAATGGATTAATATTTTTTTAAAGAGTCCCAGAAGTATCACCAGCACAGCCAAAACTTGGGGTTGCAGCACCCCCAGAAGTAGCACCTGCTCCCAAATCATGGGCCAGTAACAAGCAAGGTGGGCAAGGAGATGGTAAGTAGACATAAGCTGGGGAATGGTTAGGTTTGAAAGTTATTGAACAGCCATGCAGGAGATGAGCGGTAGAAAGCATTATCAATGGATATATTCAGATTCATTGTCAAAACCATATGTGAGCCAATGGTAGTGCATAAAAGGAGAATCTTGAAGTTATCCTCTACTTTTTTAAATCATCTACATATTGAGACAAAGCTTGTGTACCCTTAACACCTTGACCCATAAAAGTACATCGTGTGGATTTATTTTCATTTATGCCCCCAAACTCTTTATCAAACATCCTGTTGTAATATTTGGATGATGAATTAGAATTAGAGTCAGTCCATAAAACTGTAATACTTCTTGCCACCCAAGGAATGATAAAATCCCCAAACAGAACTTAATTTTCTCACTTGAAGAACAGAAAACATCTAGAAAATAAAATCTTACAGAATGAGTCTATTTAGGCCCTCAGAATGATACATTTACTCTTTTAACTTATAGGAACAAAAATAGGCAAGTAGGTAGTGAATAATGAGATGCCCTTAGTACTTAGTACTAAAATTAAAGCAGTAAGTCAAATGAAGAAGTCCTAGACTTACTTGGGATTTTTTGATACTTAGCTATAAAATTCTGTTTCAGTAATACAATTAAAACTAGTTAAAAAGTTTTTAAAGGCAGGGGTGGCCCACGCCTTTAATCCCAGCACTCAGATGGCAGAAGCAGGCAGATCTCTGAGTTCAAGGACAGCTAGGGCTACAGGGAAATCCTGTCTCAAAAAGACAAAAAAAAAAGAGTTTTTAAAGCAGAGAAGTTGGACTTTATTTTTAAAGGGATCATAATGAAGAAAAAGCAAAGTAAAACACCTCACTTGTGCAGTAATCTTAAAGGAGCCCTTTATGATATATCTGGCAGATCCTTAGATTGTTATCTCCTCATGACTGTTCACTAACTTTCAAAGGTTAAAATAACATTTTATGGATATGAACAGTTAATATAATTAATCAGAAAGAAAGAAGCAAGAGCTCTATTATATCCTGGGAGGGTTGTCTGAATTATTTT